TGCAGGGCTGCGTACCTGCGTGCAGCAAAGGGAAAAACAGCAGAAATGACTCATCTGTTTTCAAAATCCCAGCAAACCCATCTTTATTAGCAACATAGTGCTACTGTAAGAAAGAGTAGCCATTCACCAAAGACATGAATTGATTGCTTATTCAAGATGTCATTCTAATCATCCATACAATTCTCCTACAGTCTACTGCACACCTTCCAAAGCTGTATTTTGTAGGGGGATCAAATACAGTGGTAATGCCTGGCATTATTTCAATTATTCAATATTACCCAATTCCTCAAAATTCAGCAGTACCCTTCAGGGGTTGCAACAATTCATACTACTCCCAAGGCAAGTGAAATATTGTCCTCATTTCTCATCACAAGTCAGAAGGCATTTTCAGGAACTGCATGAAAATATTAATTTGGTGCAGCAGGTTTAGGGAAAGACACAGACCTAAATGGACAGGCAGCAATGAAGATAACAGAGTTTCATACTCCTGATCCTTAGTGCTGGTTGTCCAGTTTCCCCTGATTGCTGTAAAAACCCTGGAGGCATAAAGGTACAGTTCAGGGAGATTTTAGCACTTTGAATCCAGCTATACTATGTTTTTTAAAGCTGGATTTATTTATTTATTTATTTATTTATTTTGGGCCCCAGTTATCAGCATCAGACTGTACCCAGCCCAGAAGAGACTGAAGGGAAACAGATTGTGCCAGGATATGCCTTTCTCTGGCAGGCTCCTTGTCTCCATTGCCAAGATCCCACATAAAAAGCCACTTGTTTATAATATTTACATTAAAAAACCCCAAAACCTAAAGGCAGCCTGGAAACTGCAGTCATCGTTCTTGAGGTGACCACAGGACACACTTCCGAGGGGAGGCTCTCAGGATGATTTCCATCGCAGGAGCGAGAACACCTTGTGGATCACGTAAACCAGGGTAGCTACGAATGCAAATACCTGTGACAGAAAAACACATCAGCCAGTTGGCTCCCTGCTGCATGTTATGAGTTTCAGCACTGAACAAACACCTCATGGTGTCTCTTGCACGTCTGGAGACATTAGTGCCCAGTAGGACTGCAACTCATTTCTCTCCCCCCTCCCTGAACGGCTGGTGCAAATAAGGATTTGCACTTGAGGCCACTCCACGGTCACCTCCTGACCTTCCTTGCCCTGCTTGCCAGGCACTCACCACAGCAGCAATGTTCTCCCTGTAGATGTTTGGACTGAACAAGTAGGAAGCAGCGTAAGTGGAGTAGGCTTCCAACACAGAAGCACTGAGGTAGAACAGAGATGCTGTCCCCTGGCAGATGGCATCCTAAAAAACAAGGGTCACACGGTTGTTTCCAAGGAGGGATCACATTGCAAAGGGGGAAAAAAGGGAACCCCATGCAAGCAAGCCCCAGCCTGCGATTTGGAGTGCAGTAGCAGCACTCTCCTTTGCAGGAGTCATTTGTCTTCCGGGGAGGGAGAGGACCAAAGGTTTGTTACATCCACTTACCAAGGTGACCCAGGAGCTGCTGCCCCCATGGGCCCCACAAAAGTAGAGGCACAGGAGGGTAGTGGACATGACGAAGCAGAACACGGAGACAAACATCACCCAGCCTTGCAGCATGGGTATCGGGACCCTTGAGGATGCCACCAGGATCCAGACAAGGCCTCCAAAGATCTGCAAGTGGAAGTGGGAGATAGGGTGAGCATGGGATAAAATTACTGATCCAGAGCAGAGAGTGCCATGCATGCCTCTGGCACTAGCACTGCACATGTCAATAGTTCTTCCCAGCCCCCACTTGAAACTGGGTATGTCTCTGGGAGCATCTGCCACTGATCTTCACCCAAAAAAATCTTCTCTGCAACCCTGCCTCCTGGTGTCACTGCCATTCACACCCTCCCTATGTCAGTGTGCTCAGAGGGCTGGTTCAGACACTTCTGAAGGCTGGTTTTAATGAACAGGGAGGCTGATTTCGGAAAGGTGTGTTTGCTTCACACCCAGTGTGTCAGATCCCTGACGGGAGCAGTGTCAAGCCCAGTTCATCTGCACAAACAGCACAGGCACATGGTCCTCACAAAGGCCACAGGCAAATGTCACCCTGAAAGAAGAGAGAACATGTTTAAGAGAGGTAATGTGGCCAGTATTACACTCTGAGAGACGAGAAATAAGCTTGAGGCTCACAGCTCCTTCTGGAAAGGAGAGCTTTGTTGTGGTAGTTTTGCAATATATAAAAGGATACACAAGTTTTTAATGTTGTTTAAGTGAACATGCTTTCAAAATGGCTTTTACAGTCTTTTGGTAAACTCCCCTTTCTTCTTCCCAAGGTTCCTCAGTCTTATCTATACTTTTGGAATGTTCTAAGAGATAACTGAGAGCTTATCTATTGGTTGTTAACCCCTTATTGTCATTGGTTAGTAGTAAGACCTCCTGGACCCCCAGTGGTCACTTTGTAATCCCCCCAAGAGCTATTTAAGTCACTACCCAGAACAATAAACTCTCTCTGCCTCTCTCCTTGCTGCTGCTGTCCTGTGGTCTCTGCTGGGCTCATGGGGTCCACGCGGTGGGGGAAAGGGGGAGGGCACGCTCTCCTCCAGGACTAGAGGTAAAAGACCTCTAGCCTGGAGTCCCTCTCCCTGTCCACCCTCAACCATCACAGAGCTTGTGTTGCTGCTCCAGCTGTTTGGGTTGTCCTTCATTGGCTACATCAGAGCTGAGAGAGGTACCAGCTGCTGGTGTGGGAGCAGGTGGGGCCCCAGTCTTTTCAGCCAGCCTTGGGAGTTTGCCATGGGTTTTCTGGTGGGGTGGGGAACACAAAGACAGCAGGGTCTAGGCTCCATCCATTCTCCACCAGCATACTCCTACACAAGAGGATGAGAGCATGATGTTCACTGTTGTGAAATGTCTGCACTGCCAGTGGTGCCTTTGCACTAAAATACTCTCAGTAGCTTTTCTGTGCTACAAATCAGGCCAGATGTTCCTTGAACCTCTGCAAAGTTTAGTCTATTATGAAGAGCTCCTCAGCTGAACCCACACTGTGCTGCTGTGGGGACCTCTCCCTCATCACCAGCTGCCTTGGATTTGCAGGCAAATCTTCAGAGGTAGGAGAGCCTTAATGGCTCCAAGAGCATTCTGATTGCCAGCCTTCGTCAGCATCCAAATGACAACTCATGGCATTTCCATTTCCTTGGAGACATTTTGCAAGTGGAAAGAAAGTTTCTAATTTATTATGCCCAGAAAATGTCACATCATTTGTGTCACTCCACATTTGTAGGAAAGTTCATTGGTTCCATTATGCAAATTAATACATTAAATCCATTATATGGTTGAGACCTTGCAAACAGCTGAGTGAAAATAGGTCTTCCAAAGCGCTGCTGGTTTGGTGCCTCTTGTAACAACCAAAGACTGACATTTGAACACTAATCCAGTCCCTTTAGTAACTCATATGGTGACACAATGAGTTTATTATAGCTAAAGATCCTGGGGAAAACCTTAGATCTGCTCCATTAAAATAAAACACAAATTGAGCGAGATAGGCAGTTCGGGGAAGTATCACTTACCACTTCCTACCACTCACCATGTCTCCTTTCTGCAGGGTGTGGTTACTCACTCAGGCAAGTATGTTTGACATGGTTTGATTATTGATGTTGGTTTTATAGTGCTGCTGTTCAGCACACTTGTAAAAATGAGGGAAGAACTGAGAGGCTTTCAGTAATAACCCACATCAGGTTGGGGACAGCAGTCTAAGAAAAAACTTATCTTTCAAAAGCCTTTTATGAAGCAAATGCATCTTTTTTCAGCTTGTTTCAGCGTTTCCACATAGGTCTGGCTATCCATATATGCAGAAAATCCTTCAAATAAGATAGATTACAGGAAGTCAACTGAGCCTCACGGAACAAAAATGGTAGTTCTTAATCAGCACATGCAGATGTGGCAATCATCTGAGCTGCAGGCAGGATCTTCTGGAAATTTCACAACTGTCTTAGCATTTGAAATGTCTTTTTTTATTATTATTATTTTTTCTTTTGTTTTGTTTCATAGTTACCATATTAACCCATTGTAGGCAACTTCAGATTACTCTAAGGGAACTCTTTATCCCTCTGTGATTCAAGGCAGCCGCCTCCTTTGTACACAGAAGAGTTCATACAGCTGCACAGCATAGAGTCATACACATCCTGGAGATGGAGATCCAGTTATACAGCATTCCTCCTTCCTGGGTGGTTCCTGAGCCTTCAGGATGCACATTTCCAGATCTTACCCAAACCAAAGGATAGGGTGCTTATTTAAGCAAGCCAGATCCCCTGGAGTCAGGAATTACTAACAGTTCAAGGGGAATAAGCATGCTGAGGCCAACAGCAAGCCCAGTGCAAGGACTAACACAACTCAGTGGCAGTGGCGGCTGGCAAGTGTCTGCCCAGCCAAACCCTCCACAGGGACTTAAAACCCTCCTTCACGTAGCTGCAGGAAACCTGCACCTTGTTCTCAGAGCCCAGGCACAGAGACCAAGTCTCCAGAGCGTAACTGGAAGAGCTGAAGCAAAGCCTTTCTCTACATCCTCTTTGCTGGATTGCTACCACTGGGAGAATGAAGTAAATGCTGTAAATCCCAAGAGTGTGGACCAAGTTGTGTGACAGGAAAGAATTTCGTCCCAGATAGGAAAGCTGAAGTTTTCAGCGCTAAATCGTCCGAATGCCATCCTACAATGCTCAGCCAAAGCCTTCAGTGCTAGATGGGAGTGCTCAGGCTTTGGAAAAAGCCACCCAAACTCCCGTGAGAAGATCAGGTTTCATGAGTGGGGCAGAGGACACAGGAAAAAGGTTATCCTTGAAAATTTCTATCTTTGAGTCAGCGGTCATAGCAACTGCTTTTAATCACTTGTGCCAAATCCATTAAGATTATAATCTCCTGCTCAATGAAATTGCAATATGGAAAGAAGTTACAAGCTGTTTGCTCACCCTTGGCCCACCCACACACCCAGGCCCAGCACTCTGCACCTCCAGCTCAGGAATGTTGCAGCTGAGCAGGAGACCTTCGGTAGACCAAGTTCTTTGCTGCTGCAAATAATTGCCTCAACTGGCCTTAGTCCCCTGCTTTAAGCAAGGAGTTTATCCTTTGTCTGTATTATCTGCCAAAATCATCTTCTAATTAAATAATTAGCTCAATATGTAAACCTAGTTTAAACACACCAGCAAACCTCCTCAGCTTTTTTTAGGCAGGAATTTACAAAAGGTTTTCACATGCACCAAAAAAATCCCATTGCAGACTAAAGGAGAGCTTCACAACCCTGGCTCCAGCCCTGTAGTCTTCTCTGGGGGAACTAGATACCAGGAGCTGGTGTGGGTCCTGAGCCCACGTGCCATGGGTCAAGTCTCATCCCTCAGACACCTGCAGCATGACATGTGCTCGGTGCCCCACAAGCAGCAACTGCCCTCCTCCAGAGAAAAGTCAGCACTCACGATTTCAGGAATGAAGAGCACATCTGGGAAAGTCGTCAGGACAGCCAGGCCGCTGGGCAAAGAGCTGGTGGAAGCTGCTGAGGACATTGCAAGCCTCTCCCACGGTGATCGTCAGCCACTCTGTCCAAATGCTAAATGCAACCTCCTTGCCTCTCTCTCTATCCTTCTCTCTTCCTCCTTTTCTACCCTTCTTCCTGCTCTGTCCTCTTCCCTTCCTGCTGACAGGTGAAGACGGCTGTGAGTGGCACAGGTGTGGCCAAACCCTGTGACCAGGGCTGACAGGAGTCACATGACAGGTTTTCAGGAGATGGGGGCAGCCCTGAGGCATTTGGAGCAAAATCTTTACACAAGTTGAGCACGCAAGGCAAGTCCCTGGGCAGTAGTGAGTGCCACGAGCTGATATCTGAGGGCAGTGGGAAAGTTTTGTACCCCTCTGCCTGTGCCCATCTGCCTCTCGTCCCCTTTTTGTTTGCACAGTAAGTCATAGAATCATAGAATTAACTGGGTTGGAAGAGACCTCCGAGATCATCAAGTCCAACCCAAGTCAGCTTGTTCCTCATGCACACGACCTGACTGCAGCAGCAGCCACAACGACACGACAGTTCCAGGAAACAGCAGGGGCCAAGAAATGTCTCACAGATGGAGATGCAAGACAAAGGACAACCAAACTGCAGGGTGAACCACTTCCATTGCCTCAGAAGGAGATTGGATATGCCAAGGTAACACAAATGGCCTAAAGTAATGAGACTTCACTAGTCTTTTTTTTTCTTCTTCTTTTTAGTCTGTGATCCGTGGGAGCAAGCCATTCCTCTTCTCCTTAATACGGAATGTTTTCTCCAGAAATTAAGGTCGAAAACATGGACCATCAGGAAAAGAAACGGAGCGGTGTAGCAGTGCACATTGCTGTGGAGCAGTGACCGCTGCAAGCAGTGCCCATTTCAGTCAGGCCCAGTATATGGTGCTTGCCCTTTCACAGCTCCTTCCACACAAAAGCCTTTGGTGCAGAGTCCAGAGCAGGAGGCGGGACTGCCTTGTTTCCAACCCCACATTCCTGGCACGTGCAGCTGCGATAACCAGCACTGTCAGCTCTGGCCCGGAGCCTCCAGCAGGCCTCCTTCCAGGCTGTAACTGGGGGGTTCGGTCATTGTTGCTAGGCCTTGCTAGGGCCATGAGCAAAGTCTCTGGGCAGCCTCTGCAGGACATGCTAGGCAAGCTCCAGGTATACCCACAGAGGCCTGAGGGGCTGGGGGAGGACTGGGTGGTAGACCAAGGGCAGAGCCCCAGTGTTGGTGTGGCTGTGAAGCGGTTGCCAAGGGAAGGTGGGGGCCACCAAAAGCTTTTATTCCTTGCCACTTCTGTATGGAAGCCCTAATGATGGGGGTTTGGACCTGGGCTCTGATGAGGGTGAGGGTTAGGTGTTAGAGCAAGCACAGAGCCACAGTGTTGGTGGGACAGGAAAGGGTGTGATGGATACCTCTTATCCAGACCTTGAGCTCTCCTCTTTTTTCTTTTTTCCCCCCGCCTCCCCCCAAGTAGTCCATTGAAGCAGGAACATTTAAGTGGATAATTTCATGTTTCTTTCCTTCTGGAGACCCTCTCTCACTCTTAAATGCAGAGTCCATTCTGACCTTTATGACTTCTTCAAAGATGAGAGTGTTTTTGCTGCATCTACCTGATTTTCCGCCTCTCCAATGAGATTCCATGTGCCATAAGGTGGCATAGGTATACATATGTATAAAAACTTACATATGAAGCAGACCTACAAACCAGTCAGCAAAACAGGGAGAGCAGAAAGCAGTGGGGAATGCAGGATGCAGAGTTGCACAGAGACAACTCCAGAGGGGGTCTATCTGTCTCTGTAATGGGCAGAGATGAAGCTATGCAGCTCTCCTGTTCCTGGGAGCACAGGACTGGCAGTGGGGCACCTGAGGAATGAGCAACTGTGTTATGAGAGGCAAAGGCACCAGTGCTGTTCAGTTCAGGAGGGATGAGTAAACTCTGAGGAACCCATTCTTTGTCTTATTTACAAATTATTGGTGATGGATTAAGAAAAGTAACACTGGTTTTAGTGTTGAAGACTGCTGACCCAACTCTCTTAAATTAGATCCATCACGAGAGTGTTCTTCCCCTGACTGAGGTGGGCATCACCAGGGACATGTAAGACCCTGGTAGGAAAGTGAGAGACAAGAAGTTTTGAGCAGAAGAAACTGAAGAACTGGTAACATCTAATTCAAATGCTAAGCAGGCAGGACAACACAGAATCTAGTTGTAGGACTCACAGTCAACCCCTTCATAGTATAAAAGACTGGTCCCACTATTTTACTAGCGGGGATTTCCAGCATATCTCCCTTACGGACATGAAGATCCTTCCCTCGGGTGGGGATGCTCATCAGGGATACTTCTCAAGGCTGAGTGAAAATCTGTCCACAGTATGGGTGGTAATGGGGTATGAGTGAGTAGGGGGGTGTGGGTATGGGTATGTATATGGGTATAGGTGAGTAATATCAATCTTTGTTTGATACTTATTAAGCTATCTATGACATTATTGATTGAATAAATAGTGCACTATATTAGTAGTTTGTGTAGTAAATGATTCTGATAAAAGCCTTTTGCCTTTTTGCCACTTTGTGTTTTTATCTTTTTACATTTTTATCTAATCATTATCATCATCAATTTAAATAAAGCAGTCGAGATTTATAAAGGTACAATTACTCCTATAAAGCCTTTCTAACCCTTGTGGCTCACTGGGTGGGTTTCTCTGACAAACTCTGTATGAAGCATCCGTTCAGTCCATGACACATGGCTTCTCCTGTGTTATGTTTTCCTCATAGAGGAGCCCAGAACAGAAACTGGGTACGCCCAGGGATTGAATGCTTAAGGTGCCAGGAGAGAAAGCTCTAGCTGGCATTTACCTCTCATGGTCAGCCTGTCATCTGCACCTGGAACACTGGAATGAGGTGTTTTTCATTCCCATGTTAATGCCCTGTCATTTTCTGTCAGGAGTCCACCACTGAAATTTGGAATCAGCCACCTAAAAAAAAAAAAAAAGAAAGAAAAGGATAACATTATCTTTCCCGAGGAAGAAAAGAGCCAAACCCAGTGTTGGTAGTGCAGATGACAGGGTTTCCTAGGATGCATAGGGAAGTAAGAGCTTTCTGTCCTGGAAAGTTTTGTCTGACAGAGATCTCTGGGCATATCGTTTCATAACTGGTATCCAAATATTGGAGGTGGGATCCCAAAAGACAATGACAGTGCCTTTATTTGTTAAGGAAAGCATCCAGCCCTCTTCGTGGTGCTGCTGCTCCGGGGAGGTAAAAACCAGCAATATCTTTCTTTCCTGAGAACTTTTGTGTTAGAGCAATCCCTGGTGGACATTTTCAACACTGGAGGCAACCTCCAAATTTTGGTGATGGGCTCCTGAAAGTGGACTGCTCCCTCACAAGAAGTGCTATGAAAGAAAGCTGTTGCTGGCCTTTACCTCCCCTCAGTGGCCTATTATCTGCACCACAAACACTGGAGATACCTGCTTGCCTTCCAAAATAAATGTATGTCTTTTTGTTCTGGCACATTTTATTTGCCATAGTGTCTAGAAATTTTGAACTTTGGATCTGCACACTGTGTGTCTTGGAGAGTGTTGAGGTCCATGTAACAGTTCAGCAAGTGCTCAGCACCACATGGTAGAGTTCTGAATGGTGACAATGGGAAGGTAAAAACCAACATCTGTTTGTCCAGGCACCTTTAGTGTGAGAGTATTTCGTGGAGGCCTTCAGTTTTGGATCCTGACTCTGTGAGAGTAAAAGAAAGGAAAGAGAATAGTCTCAGTGCTGATGGTGGTGCAGTTTATAGGCTGCCAAAAAAAAAAGGTGTAGTCCATCACTGGCTCTTTCTTCTAGGACCTCTTCTGCGGGAGCAGCCGCTGAATTTTTTTTATTTTGGATACAGATTTTGCAGGAGTGGAAGAATCTGAGGGTACATACAGCTGAAAGGAAAGAGCAAAGACCTGTGTGTGTGGTGCAGTTTACGGGCTGCAAAGGGAAGGTGAAGGCCAGTGCTGAATTTTTGTTCTAAAATCATCTGTATGTAAGTGGTTGCTGGCTGTATTAAGTCTGGAAGCAGAGCTCTGCAAGACTGAAAGAATATGATGGCACAGGCAGCTGAAAGGGAGAGCTCATAGCTCCAGGGTGTGTGGTGTAATTCAAGGGGTATGAATTAAAGGATGAGCTAGCAAGAGCTTTCTCAGGTGACATCTGTTGTGACTGAGAATTTTTTTTGCTGGGTATGTTCAGTTTAGGTACAGGATCTCTAGGAGTGTGAAAGAATGTGATAGGGCATACAGCTGGAAAAGGAAAGTTCATTGCCTCACTGTGTGCCACACACAATGGATTCCCAATCCAAAATTTGAATATGTCCAGGGATGGCTGTCACATAAAAGTTACCATGACAGAAAGCTGTTGCTGGCCTTTACCTCCTCTTGACAGCCTATCACATTCTATGCATTTGCTGTGAATGTCACTGTGAATGTGAAAGCCGGTAACTTTTCTCTCCTAACACATTTTGTGGCCCTGCTAAAATTCCAGTGCTGAGCTTTGCAAGGGAGCAAAAATATGAGGGTGCACAGAGCAGAAAAGAAAGAAGCATGGCCCCAGTGTTGTGTTGTGCAGTTTAAAGGCTGCAGGGGGAAGGTGATGCCCAGCACTGTCTTTTTTGTAATAGGACTTTTTTTGTGGGAGCAGTTGATAGAAGTTGTAAGTTTTGGAGTTGAGCTCTGTGAGACCGAGAGAATGTGATGTTACATGCAGCTGAGAAGGAAAAGTGCAAAGCTCCAGGACATGTATTGAAATTCCAGGAGTATGAGACAAATGCAGAGCCAGCAAGAGCTTTCTCAGCTGGCACCTATCGTGACCAAGGCTTTTGCTGGATATTTTTAGTTTAGGTACAAGATCTATGTGATGGCGAAAGTATGTGAATTTCCAGACGTATTCAGTTTTGGAGGTATTATCCAAATTTCTGAGGTGGACTCCTGAAAATTCTGGAAGTAGATGTATTTTGGAAAGGAAAGCAGCCTCGGTGTTGGTGGTTCAGATGACAGTGTCCAGAGGAGATAAAGCCAGCAGCAGCTTTCTGTGGTGCCTCCTCTTGTGCTTGAGCAAACACCAGATGTAATCGGTTTAAAAGCCCAGATCCAAATTTCAGAGCTGAGCTTCTGAAAAGAATGGCAGTAAATTTATTTTGGCAAGCACTTAGCCCCTGTGTTTGTGGCTATTATCTCTTCCGGGCATGCTGTCATTTGCACCACTAACACTGGAACTAGGTGCTTGCCTTTACCAAGGAAAGGCACTGTCATCTACTTTCATGAGCCACTTGCAAAAAATT